GAGATCATGACCCCAGCTGTAGGCAGATGCCTAAACGACTGAGCCCCCCAGGCGCCCCCCAGGGATGAACCTTGTATAAAGAGCGGCCTGCCTGGTGTGGCAAACATTTGTTTGACAAACATTTGCTCTTTCCTTTTTCCTGTGAATATACTTCCTCCTTTCTGAAATTCTAAATCCCTAGCCCCTTCTTGAGTCACAAGGGCATGTAAGCATCAATCGCCTATCTTTCAATCACCTGTCTTTGAGTCTCATATTGTTGCAGGGTTCTTGTCTCAGGGAGTCAAGGAATGAATCTCATGGACACGAAAGGGTGAAGTGAAAGTTTATTAAGTGAAGGTGAGAACAGAAAGAGAAAGCTCTCTAGAGTGAGAGGGGCCCTGAATGGGTTACCGCTAAAGGCTTTTATGGTTCTTTTATTTATTTTTTCTTTTTTAAGATTTTATTGAAAACTGACCAGGGAACTTAAATCTTTTTAAAGTCTCTACCACTGATAGCACTGTGATTACTTCTCTTTTGAATATATCATCTCTGACGTTTAAGACAAACACGATGGTCTGGTTATGTTCCCTTATCTCTGGTTTCTTTACACCTCAGTATTTCTACACATCTAGGATTTCTGTGAGCCTGGTCGTGTAGCCCCCTACCTATCTCTTCCTACCTAGCCCCACCTGTCCCTTACTCAGTATCTTTGAGGTTCCCATATTAAGAACTTTGTTTTCCTCTTGTGAACCTGTCTTGTGTCTGCTTAATTATTAGAAGGACAAAGAATTATGGGGCACCTGGGTGGCTCAGTCGATTAAGCATCTTCCTTCGGCTCAGGTCATGATCTCAGGGTCCTGGGATCGAGCCCCATGTTGGGCTCCCTGCTCTGTGGGGAGTCTGCTTCTCCCTCTCCCTCTGCCTCTCTCCCTGCTTGTGTTCTCTCTCTCTCTCACTCACTCACTCTCTCAAATAAATAAATAAATAAAATCTTAAAAAAAAAGGACAAAGAATTGAAAACAGATGAAGAAAAATGTTTTCCTCTCCTACACTTTCATTTTGTTGGCAAAAAATGACCTCCGTGCTTCAAAGCCAAAACAGAATGCAAAGGCAGAGTTTGGGATAAAGAGGAACAGTACCTTTCTTGCTTTGCGAGAGGGTGCAGCAGTTTAGGGCCTTCAAAACTGCAAGCCACTCAGAGGAAGGGTCGGGGGTTTTGTAGGGAAATACAGTGATGTGGGAAACAGGCAAAAGAAAAATTATTAAATTTCCTTACTACTTGCAGCACGTTGACAAGTCTTTGAGGTGGGCAGAGTTACATTCCTCCAGGCATTCAACTGCCTGGATGTTAACACTTTACTAAGGGCAAAAGGTCATCTTAGCCTGACCCCCAGGATCCTGTAAGTCTACTTTAACATATAAAAATTCCTTTGGAAACTTCTTTTTTTTTTTTTTTTTAAGATTTTATTTATTTGCGAGAGAGAGAATGAGAGACAGAGAGCATGAGAGGGAGGAGGGTCAGAGGGAGAAGCAGACTCCCTGCCGAGCAGGGAGCCCGATGCGGGACTCGATCCCGGGACTCCAGGATCATGACCCGAGCCGAAGGCAGTCGCTTAACCAACTGAGCCACCCAGGCGCCCCCTTTGGAAACTTCTTTATCTCCTGCTCCCCCTCCCCCTAAGATACATGTTGGCAATCATCCTCCAAATACCTGTCCCACTGATACACATCTGAAGGGTCTCATTGAGTTAAGAGACATGTGGGGCTGGGTAGGGAGCGATAGGTATGGGGCTACATGATCAGGCTCACAGAAATCCCAAAAATGCTCAGGCACAAGGAAACCAGGGATAAGGAAACAAACCAGACCATCTTGCCCTTGGGCATCAGAGGTGGGGTCTTTTTATGGCAGTCACATTGTGACCAACAAAGAATAACCAGGCCCCAAAGAAGAAGTGAGCCATTAAAGATGTTATCCCCAGCCCTTCCTCAAACCCAGACTTCAGGGCGCCTGGGTGGCTCAGATGGTTAAGCGTCTGCCTTCGGCTCAGGTCATGATCCTGGAGTCCCCGGATTGAGTCCCGCATCGGGCTCCCAGCTCAGCGGGGAGCCTGCTTCTCCCTCTGACCCTCCCCCCTCTCATGCTGTTTCTCTCTCACTTGCTCTCTAAAAAATAAATAAAATCTTTAAAAAAAAAACAAACAAAAAACCCCAGACTTCACAGGAATGTTAAGGCCACAAGCTCCCTGGTTAGTTCTAAATAAAAGACTGTCAGTGGAGGCCCACGTTGGCAACCCTGTCGGGACCCCTCTTACTCTTGAGAGCTTTTTCGGTATCCTTGCTTAATAAAACTCTTATCACTTTATTCAGTCTCCTTTGTCCTCGAGATTTATTCTTTGACTCCCTGAGATAAGAACCTCACACTCCTGCTTCAACAGGATCTAGCTGGTTTCGACAGGAATTGTGTTTGTGCTACCAGCCTTGTTTATCATGTTTTCAGTGTGGTACCAGATTCCTTAAAAGAAAAAAAAAAAGGGCTAAGGGAGGAGGGGAGGTTTCTCCAAAAGAGAAAAAAATTAGTTTAATATCGTGCCTCAGGGATGTTTAGTGCAGCCATTTTGATTTTGTTCAACTTGATGC